AAAAATCTTCAATTAATTGAGATCAGCTTTTATTGCTGCTAAAGGCTGCAATCCTGTATTGATTCACTGGGGAGAAAGCTCAGTGATACACAATGGGAACTACCTCTGAGTAGGCATATGTTATGTTTTTGTTTTTGTTTAAATTTATATGCTTTAGATTCTGGAGAGCTGTGGGTGGCCAGAGAAGATAGTGCTGGTCTACAAGGAGATATACTGTATATACCCATGTATAAGTCTAGAAATTTTATCATTATTTTGTTCATAATACTCTATAATATCGATGACTATTCTTATATTATGTCTTTGCGGTAAAAAACAGGCTTGATCCTCAATAGGTCTAGAAGTTTTAGTGAAAAATTGACCCTAAAAAGCTGGGCCAACTTATCCATGGGTCAATGTAAGTACTCTATTTTAATGCTTCCCCTTCTCTGAGTAGAAAAGCAAAAGGTAAGTGCTTACTCCATCCTGGAAGCTCCCAAAGGAAGTACCAAACTTCTCTATTATTTCCATCATGATGCCGCTTCTGGTCTTTTTGAATCCTTAGGCAGAAAAATGACAGTGATAGCACCTCTTTAGTTCTTCAACTCAAAGAGGTGCCAATAGGAATCGGACTGAGAAGGATCTGAATAAGATATTTCTGAATAAAGACAGTAAACATTGTCTTTTATATCCTTTGCTACATGCCCCTAAGTTTTATCTTATCCATAAGTCATGTCAAAATCCATAATTTTGGCTCCCAAACTTGCCTTCGACTTATACCTGCAGCCGACTTATAATCAAGTATATAATCTTTACCTTGTGTAAAGCACAGTTCAGCAGACTGCAGACTTGTCAGGGTTTTTTTTCCCCTTCTAGAAACCCCAAATGCATGCAGCAGAGCCAAATACAAAAATTTATAAACTTGGAATTAAAGAATAGGAAGCCTCTGAGTACGTCTGAGCCTAAGAATATATTTTCAGTTTCATAACTGACCTCAATCCTTTTACAACCAAACTTAGGACGTTTTCACACTAGTCCCTAAAGCCGCCTGGAGCCACTCATTCCGGAATGGCTCCGGCGGCAAAAACTTAATTCCTTTTAAAACCCGGAATTACCTTTAAGCCACTGAAGCCGGAGTTAGCGGTGGTAAGGCCGGAGGGAGGCCGGACTTGCTGCTCCGTGCGTTTGAACACACGGAGCGAGGAGCCGGACGGACGCAGGGATGGCACCGGCGTGAGTGTGAACACGCTGGAAATGGAGCCGGAGTGGGGCCGGACAGAGGTAGGATTGCGTCCTCCCAAAGCCCCGTGTGAAAACGCCCTCACTCCTGGTTACCCCAAACAAGTTAACTTTTCTGCAGCCTAATTTATGTGGAAATACAAATTTTTGTCGCTGCTCTTGTTAACTGGCTGAAAACCTGAAGCCCTTGGTAAACATCTGCAAATCGCTCATAGATCTACCGCTACTTTCCATGCTTGCTGTAAGACAAACTATGTACATACACCCTTTGAGAGTGAACAGAGGAGAGGGTGAAAATATGCACGCGTATACAAAATGCACATTTTGTACTCAAGCAAATATCCACGAGAAAACAAAACAAACAAGAAGCCTTCCTCGGAAAAATGCTCCTCTGAGACAAATTTGATTTTGCAGGCTAATGTGAATCTGCAGAACAGCTGGATTATCTTTGATGGGATTTCCCCACTGCCCAACTCGGCCATAAGAAGTCGTAAAGTGATTAATTCTTCCTGAGGAGTAAGCACTATTGAACCCAGTGGAAATCGCTTCTGAGAAAGCGTGCCTAGGACGATCCGGCTGCATATCTTCAGCACAGGAAGACCAATACATCCCTGGTGCCTCTTCGCAGATATATCTTGGATTTTAACTTGACGCCTGACTTTTCTAAGCATAGCAAGCTGATACAAAGAAACAGCAACAAAAATCTAGTCCTTAACTAGAGCCAGCGTAGTGTAGTTGTTTTGAGTGTTGGACTATGATTGGAGATTAAGGTTCAGTTCCCTGCTTGAGCATAAAAGTGCACTGGATGACCTTGGGAAAGTCACACTCTCTCAGCCTCAGAAGATGGCCATGGCAAACCCGCTCCAAAGAAACCTGCCAAGAAAACCCTAGGATATGTGATATAGCATGTTAGTCTGTAGAATCAGTATGTAGAGAGATCTTGTAGCACCTTTGAGACTAAGGATCTTATCACTTGGTTTAATAATCAGTTTTACCTCTCCTGGTTTAAATTTCAATTCAGGCTGCATCCTGATATTATCAGAAGGTTTTTGCTGCCGAATTTTGATGTTGATGGTTCCAGGAGCTCTCCTCGAGGCTCTTTTCGGAGCCGAGAGTTTTCTGGCTTAAGAAAATGGCCGCCGGAGCACTCTTGGAAGCAGGGTTGCACCTGGGATGTATTCGGGCAGCAAATTTGGTGGCAAAAACATTCTGATAAGATCAGGATACAGCCTGAATTGAAATTTAAACCAAGAGAGGTAAAATGGATTATTAAGCCAAGCAATAAGCTTCTAACAGAAAAGAAAGAAGTTGGCAGCATGAGCATTCGTAGACTTCAGTCTACTTCCTCAAATGCCTTTAGGATAGGTTTTAGGGTTGCTGTAAGTCAAAAATGACTTCAAGGCACACAACAACAACAACAACAATTTTACCTTTAGCAACTTGGTAACCAGTACAAAATTGAGAAAATAAGAATAATATTTATTTATTTATTTATTTATTACCCACCTCTCCCCATGGATTGAGATGGGGAACAACAATTAGCAGACACACCACATCAGTTAAAACACATCAGTTAAAATACACCACAGTTTAAAAGAACAGATAAGATATGCACATATTAAAACAATCTACATTTAAAATTCATCATTTAAAATGCAGTTTGGGGAGTTTATCGCATTCACAATTAAAACATCTTACCTAAGACAGTTTAAAATCTAAAACAGGCAGCATCCTGATCTTATCACAAGGATTTAGCCATCAAATTTTCTGCCTGGGTCAAGCCCAGGTCCAGCCCCGCTCCCAGGGGTGCTCCGGCAGCCATTTCCTTAAACCGGAAAACTCCTGGCTTTGAAAAGAGGCGTGCTAAGCACCCTGCGAGCAGGGATGTTCCCAGGCTGGACCTGGGCAGCAAATTCAGTGGTTATCACACAGCCTTGCGCCCAGATCTCATCTCATACCCAATTGGGACTTCTCCCATACTGAGCTAAAAACGATTCTTATCCGTTCATTGCTCAGTACAGGAGAAGTTCCAATCAGGTACAGGGTGCCTCCAATCTGGGCACGATCACTGGCCATCTTTGAGAACTCCTGGAGAACAGGAGAAGTCCCAGCAGACTGGAGGAGGCAAACATTGTCCCCATGTTCAAAAAGGGGGGAAAAGAGGATCCCAACAACTATTGTCCAGTTAGTCTGACATCAATACCAGGAAAGATTCTAGAACAGTTAATTAAACAGAGAGTCTGTGAACATTTAGAAGGGAATGCCATAATCACCAAAAGTCAACATAGGTTTCTCAAAAAAAAGTCATGCCAGACTAATCAGATCTCTTTTTTTTATAAAATTACCAGCTTGGTAGATGAAGGGAATGCAGTAGACATAGCATATCTTGATTTCAGTAAGGTTTTTGACAAGGTCCCCCACGATATTCTTGCAAACAAGATAGTAAAATGTGGGCTAGACAATACAACTGTTAGGTAGATTAGTAACTGGTTGACTGACCAAACCCAAAGGGTGCTCAGCAATGGCTCCTCTTCATCCTGGAAAGAAGTGACCAGTGGGTGCCACAGGGTTCTGTCCTGGGCCCAGTGCTATTCAACATCTTTATCAATGATTTGGGTGAAAGAATAGGGGGCAATCTTCTCAAATCTGAAGATGACACCAAATTAGGAGGAATAGCTAATACCCCAGAAGACAGGATGAAAATTCAAAATGACCTTAATAGATTAGAAAGCTGGGCCAAAGCTAACAAAATGAATTTCAACACAGAGAAATGTAAGGTACTGCACTTAGGGCAAAAAAATGAAATACATAGATATAAGCTGGCGGACACCTGTCTTAATGCAACTACATGTGAAAGGGATCTAGGAGTCCT